TCTCCCCTCTGTCGCTACAAGCATGCTTGGTGTGAGGGATTGCCTTCAAGTCAATGAGTCGATGCAATCAACTGGTTTTCTTAGAAAACTTTAAATCAATCTGACTGTATGATCTGGTTGAATTGTAAAGTGCCGTGTTGTGAATTGGCGCTATATAAAAAAGCTGAATTGAATTGAAATATTTTCTTATTTTCTTTTAACCAATCACTTTGTTCTTGACCTTTGTTCATAAAGGTTAAATTTGTTATTTCAATAGATTCTCCCTGAGCTTTGATCTCCATCAGAGTTACTATGGGCAGCTATGCTGCTTCTCTTATTAATGCTCTTCCTGCCTAATTTGGTGTGGGAGGTTTGCACCTGCAGATTCAGATGATGGATAGAGCTGCGTTAAGTAATGTTAGGTTGAGTTTTTTTTTTGCCCTACTTTTAACATCTCTACAGTTTTCTCCCTGACCTGTCTGCTGTGTTCCCTAATGGTGTTTCATGCTGCTGCTTGTTCTCCAATGTTTTCTAACAAAGGAAAGCACACAAATCTGGACACTGTTGTTAGATAATTTAAATATTCTACACTTTTCCCATAATTATTCAACTAATTATTTTGGACAGGGGCATAAATGCACCAAAGAAAAAGCATGTTGATGTCTGTAATTGTACCATGACGAGGTTTAAAGGATATAAATACGCGAGGAAGCATCAGTACGTGATGAAGAACCAATTTAGTAATGCTGGGATTTAGAAATAGGAAACAAGCAATTATTTTAGGCTGAGCATCCAGTATTCTCATCACCGCTGTTTCCAATTAATCCCTCTCTGATGGTATTATACTGTTCTTAAGATGTGATGTAATGGTAACATGTCTTACTAAATAAAATGGAAATACTTTGAGTGATTTTTTCCAGCCTGTTGATCAGTTTTATTAGTAAAAACTTTTTTTAATTCCCGCCCCGCAGAGTAGGTACTGTTTTCTTTAGCTGCCGGATGAGAGATGGTACTTACAGCTGCGTTGGGTTCGATGAGCCGCTGCTGCAGGACTTTTGCTGCCCCCCAATGCCCAGACTGACACAGACGCTCCAGTTCACACAGCTCCTGTCCCAGCACGTTGGCCAAGGCGCACACTCCACCAACAGCACCTGCACACACAGGGCCAATCAGAGGTCAACACACAGAGAGGGTTTATCTGCAGATGATTTGCTTCTTATCTTCTGAGTTAAATTTATGTTTGACATTAAATTTACAAGGGGTGAATTTTAATGTTCCTAAATTTTAAACTTAACGTGCAAAAATGTGAGAAACATGATTTTGTTACGGTGGAGTT